ACGTCGGTAATTTGAAAATCTTGAGTTCACATTTTAAAAAAAATATAGCAGAAAGCTTGTCATAATGTCAATTCATTTGATCCTGAGTAATTCGAAATTAATGAGAAAAAACAATGATCCATTAATTGTCATGCATTGTGTTTATGCCTCTGCTATTTAGTTTTCATTACGCAAAACATAACTGATTTGTGTACAAAAACTTTACTGCAAGACATCTGTAGTATCGGTAGTAGATCTAGCTTTCATCTTACATAATGGACGTTCGCTTGAAACTGGGCTCAATTTGTACTCCGCCACACTACCGATCTCCTGCGGTAACAAACGCGTCAGTCTGCATTTACATTTCGTGATAAAAAAAAATTTGCAGAAGTCATGCAACGTATTGCCTCAGAGAATAGCGAAAAATTTAAACAAATAAAACGAATTAGACAAGTATAATGAGTTGTCCCGTTTTCTTCATTGATATTCAGCGATTTTAATGACTGTTTTATGCTATGTATTAAGTACGTAGCTAATAACAGTGATAACGTTAAAATTTAAACAAAGGAAGACAACTAGAACCCTCAAAAGATATATAATTCATTAGGTGAAGCATTCCGAACATACAGCGTATTCTATTTATATTTTAGCATAAAATTAATAATATGCAGACGGGATTACATAATCGTATATAACAAAGATCCACAGGTAAATAATTCGAGCATTAAAATAAACAGAAATATAACAAGCAACGAATACAAGTGAAAAAAATGAAACGCATAAGAAACAAAACATGGAAAAGACTGAACAGGGGGAAGAAAAATAAACAAAAAGAGGTTAGATAGTAGAAAACAGTTTTTAAGGAAAGGTTTTCGAAAGTGCACTGATCGGTTAGAGAGGCTGCACAAAAAGGCTCTAATTAAGGTAGCATAAGCCTGGCAATGAAGTTGCCATGGCTTAACTCCATCAGATCCTTACCATAATAACGGTGCAGGCTGTCGGTAGAATACTTCACAATAGTGAAATGTTCTTCTTGTCAGTGATCCAAAGTTGCCATATATTGCCTTAGATGAGTTTTACCATGTCGTTTTGCTATAACAATCTAAAACTCTTTATAACGCATTTGGTGAAGAGACTCATCACTAAGAAAAAGCCGTTTGCTGTATAGCTGTTCGCCATATGTTGCATTTGATCATGCATTCTCTACACGTGACATTAAATTCGATCGATGGATGGGTGGAAGCAAATGCATATTAAAAGTAAAAGACAAAGTGTTACGCTGGGATGAAGGCGAAGACTGCAAATTGGATGAAAGCGATAATGCTTGATAAAACCGTAATCATAAGTATCATTTTCAAGTATTCATGACAGATTTTTGATGTTAGCTTTCCATACCGATGAACGATAACAATAAGGCATCGCTAACGCAAGCAAGTTGATCAGGAAACTGCAGAATTTTTAGGATTGAAGCAATTGCAAGTCAGTTACTTGCGGAAAACAGAAGTAACTGATTCGCAATTTAAGGTTACACCATTAGTTTGTGCTGAAGAGGTAAGGGAATATTTTTGTGAGTTCTGAAAGCGTCACTTAATAGACATATTTTTTTAAGGCTTTCAACCGTCTTCTTCTTTATCTTTTATTATTTCCGTTGTTTAATCTATTAGAAATGTTGATAAATTTCGATGTAAGCAAATTTCACTGCATTAAAATGTACATAGAGAAGAAGCATAAACTTTCTGTCTCAAAATTGACCTCGAATCAGTTTAACTTGTGATTTATATTGCTTTGATTGTTTATTAAAATTATCGCTCATCTATGAAGAATCATGATACATGGCAACGTGTATCATGCATACTAAAGAATGGCACTCTTAAAAAAGGTTTATGCTGTAGATCATGGATGATGCGAACTTCAGGAATCGAAATTCATTTCCGCTGTGCAGAAAATTCACGCCGAATTGTAGAGCAGCTCGGATATCCTCAGCTGATACCATAACCGATGATTTCACACGAATCTCAGAAGGCCGTTTAATGACAATTTCAAACTGGAAAGGAAATTATAATATCACTCATAGCTTCTGAAGCAAATCCAGTAAGGAGAAAAATATTTTACAATTTTAAGGAGTTTAACTGCAAAGAAAACGATGCTCAGCAACCACTTCCACCACATTGCATCTAACATATGAAATAATGTATCAACTGAAATCAGATGATGTTTTCTTCACCTACCTACATTGCGTTCCACATGGGTTAGGTGCACCTTTTCCCAAATATATTACGTCAATCCGTTCCATCAAAGGACTCATTCTTGTATGAAAATCGTAAGACAACCGTCTTGTCAGGATTGGAAATGAAGTCTGCTTAGTCGAATGCGGGGTTTTCTTCACTGACCTGTTGTTAATAGGAGAGCTCAAACTTTATGCCTAAGGTCACTGTGTCACTAGGACTCTCTCGAAAAATTAACAACGATATCTTCCACAGCTCACACTGAATCATAGGGATTTCTTTACAAACTTGTTGTCACTCTGTCACGGTAATATCAAACATCGGATCTACGCCCAATGAGACGCCTCAGTGTCAAATCATCACAGGATTCCTCTTCAATTAAAAATTTGGTGATGAATGGCGATGACGACTTCTAGTTAAAGAGGCCAAAAAATCCTCTTCGTCATCCATCAAGTGCCTGCCTGATATTTTAGTTAATGGACTAGTGTAGTGGCTAGCATCACAAAGACACCAAAATACTGTATCATGCCGTGAAGTACGAAGGCAACTTGGGTGAGATATCGAATAATATCATACGACCCGTCAATCAAAGACGGGGTCTGCAGTCACTGAGTTACATGGGTGTCCCACCAAAGGAACCTTCTAACTATGATACTTGATACAACAATGGTTTGGTGTCAACGTAGTACCGGCCATTCCACAGAATTACAGTTTTTAAACAGTAGACAATGCGTTTGATACGTGATGAAGATTACTTATGCGTTAAGTAGCAGTCATTCCAAAGGTTAATGACACTAGAAATCTGCCTGCTCATTTAACAGTAACATTCTGAAAGACAGCATGCTAATCACCATCTGAATCGTCATCGCGTTTGATTTGTACAAAGAAGCTGTTTGACTCATCGAAGGAAACGGCCACTCCGGTAATTTTTGCTCGAACGCGAACTGAAGTGCAAAGATGATTACAAAACGAACTTCGAAAACGCAGTAATCTATCAAGTTTTACCAAAGCTTTGAGAAGACGGCTTTTGAAGAGCCAGCGCTACAGCAACGATAGGGGAATGCTTTAGACGTGAGCAAACTTCCTCCCAAGAGATGGTCGTTGAAACACTCTCAGACACATTCCATAAGACCACAGAATATTCGTCACTGCTGAAAAAGTCAAACCAGTTAATTGACTCTTTTCCGTCAAATAAGGGGTGAATTTACGCTTGCAAGTCACGCCCGATTGCGGTATTTGCAAAGCTGCTATCATCATCGAACAGATCAGCCTCAGACGACGGTGAGTTGGCATTCTCCATGCTGTCAGGAACCGTGAGTCTCGCCTCCGAAGGCGATGAAGTCTGTGAGATCGAATGAGTAGCATGGAAGCTGGACAACGAAGAGCATAAGTCATCGTCGTCATATACGTCGTTGTACGGTGGCAACACATTTCCCACCTGATCATCAAGGATATCGTTGTCACTTGCGGACAAGTCTGATATGGTGGCGTCAAACCGGTCGTCAGAACGATCGCATTCCAGCGCGTTTAGCATTTGACTGTCCGTGAAATCCGTTGAAAGCTTTGGCGTGGTAGCCAGAGGGATTTTAACATCCTCCCTTACCTCGTTATCAACATATGTTTTGACGCTGCAGGAATTATCGTTGCCCATATCGTTGGAAACTGCACACGCCACTGGCATAAGGAAAGGAGTGTTAGCGGTCGCCAATTTGCAACATTCTTCCACAGTATTTGAGGTTGAGGTGACCGGTTCATTGACTCGTTCCGCGGGAGCAACATTTAAACCAGCAGCAACCATCTGAGCTTCGGTGAGATCACTGACAAACGAATCGATAAGTTTGCATTTTCGTTTAAGCGTTTCCGACATCTTCTCGCTGAACTCGTTAGCCAGCCTGCTCTGCTTGGATGGCGAAGCGCCATCCTCCGTCGAGGCCGTAGTTGTAAAAATGGAAGCAGTCTCGCCCTTTGCGTTCTCCGCAGTCAGGGCCATGATACCCAAATCTTCGAGCTGCCTCTGAAGCAGTATTCTGGCACGATCTCGAATGAACTGGGAGGCTTGCATCAGCGTCTGATTGGGGTGGCCTGTCAGCCAGACTTGCCTAGAATTCTTGCATCGCTCATCGTCGGGTTCCCTATTAAAACAATTCAAGGGTCAGTAATGAAGCAGTAGGTAATACACAGCTCAGGTAACAAGTTTGTTCGAGCTTTCTACTGATATATCACCAAAGGATAAAGCAAACATATAACACATACAGACATACGGCATTTATACAGATTCAAAACCGTAGTTACGACTCTTCGTGTTGGTGTGTATCACCGGTCTGGTCAAAACGCTGTGTTGAAACGTCTCATACCAAACACAGCCATGCTCATAAGCAGCTCTCAATCAGGCGGTCCCTGTGATTAGGTAAGTAAAAAATTACTAAAAGATAAGTATTTTTAAGGATCTACATAAATCGAAGGCGGCAGAACTTGTACAGGACCTATGCGGGTACTTACAAAACAGCAAATGAATATCATCAGGATTATCATAATCGATAATTTGTCAGACTTGTGTTCCAAACGTCGATGGTTTGAATTTCAACCGGGTATCTCATGTTTTTACTTCCATCTTGAGAGAAGGAAGTAAATGGCTATTTTCTCTCCATTTACACATTGTGCTGAATTTTACTCAGCTATTAGGTAGGTAAAAGCAAATTGAAGCAGGAAAGCACATGCCTCAGATCAAACAGCAAATCCATGAAACTCGCATGGTTTCGCACGAGCACACTACAATACTTTGCTGTCCATATTATTCGCAGATCAATGACACGATAGTCGTTTTTCGACCGTTGCACCGAAGCTAAGTTGAGTTGACTTCTTGTACAAAAAATTAGCTGTTAATAAGAGAAAATTCACAACTAAAGTGCATGGCAAAGTATTAACTCATTGCGCCACTGCTCCATCACCTCCCACCCTCGAATGACTACTCATGCTTAGGAATATTTATTGTACTCAACAAATATTATGACGTCTTTGAACGTATGGGCACGACTATCACAGGTGAATCACATGCTCGATGAGAAATAAGGTCAATGAATTATACCAATAACGAAAGTCCGAGAACTACCGATATTCGAACGATTATGGACTTCGGCAATTCCGGCCATCCTCGACACAGGTACTATTTCAATGGTCACGAATATAACGCTGAAACAGCGTTCGCAATGGCTGAATTATACGTTAAAAGTCATTGCTCGAAAATGGCATAGTGCGCACAGGAAATGGCAAACATCTAGAGGCATTTAAGACAGATTCTCGAAATTTGGGCCAAACTACGATATGCTGCCAGAAGTATGAATCGATGAACACAAAGAATATGAATCTAAGAAAATTTGGACGCGCATGCAAATTAATCCAAAGACTAAATGATCGATGCCATATCACCACATGCACTTACTCGTGAAAAGGAACGGCTTTTCGCAAAACGGCAGCTATGTCTTTCAGGCTTGCCTGGGCCAATTTTGCCAACGTATTGAAACCAGCGCGGTGAAAACTTCGAGCTCTCAATCTGTCCAAGCCGTCGATCTTCACCAACTCCGTCAACTCGCGTTTCACTCCAAACGCCAATCGTTCCCCAAAGCCCTGCAGCACCGCTGTTAGGCTATGCCAACCGAGTCTGTCGCAGAACGTCGTAATCATACCTAAAATCTAATACTATGACGCGCGCATAGCACATCATCAAAAGAACAAGTTAAAGTAAGCATAATGTTAAACTTCTGCACAACGAAGAAAGTCACCGAACAGAGTAAATAACTCATGTATAGAAATTTCAGTTAAATAATATGAGTTTACTAGCGATGTGCTAGTTTTAAATAAAGCCTGTAAGAAAAATAATATCTTGTTCATCTATTATTAATGACAGGCGTATTAGCACTGTGCCGTTGCTTCTAACAGAATAAACCGATCAAGCAAGCCACAGCTCAATGTTCACTGAGAGCACAATACGAATCCACTGCCAAATTTATGAATTTCCAACGTTTGTTTCATTTCATAGTTCCCTGTTATAATTAAGCAAGAACATTACAACGTGCCAGAACATTTTTATTCATTGTTTCTTTGCAAAGCTGAGGTGGAACTTATAACTACGCCGCCCAAATATTTCATAAAATTTAAATTTGTGAATATAACTCAGTTTAAAGTCGAATTTTTATGCCAGAACAATGAGTTGATGAATGAAGCAACCTTATTTATATAGCAAACTTTTATACGCAATATATAACATCATTGCGCCATTTCGTGATTATGCGCTATGCCATGAAAGGTAAGTATTAATGTCTCTATTATGATAGTCATTCATAGCGGATATTCTCGTTTCGTCCGCATCCCGATATTCCTTCAACTTTATTGGTGGTAAATGACAAGTTGACAACAGCAAGTTGTTCGTAGTATATTTCATGCCCCCCCCCTGCACTTTACGCAGTCTATCAGTTAGCTTCCATACCAACGGCCTGAGTTCGTCTATGAGCTGCTTCCGTGTAGTTGTTAGTACGGTGTTCGCTGTTGATCATCCCGCGTAAAGGCGATCATATTTCTGTTGGAAACAACGGGCGTCTCACATGTCCTCTACAATTCAAGCGACCGATATAATTGTCCTTGAACACCCAAGAAGTGGCCGCAGATCGTTCGGAAGTTATTCTGCCAGCCTGTCGAATGCTTCATCGAATGCAATAGTGCCATCCAACGCCAATGCTGCTATCATCCTCTTTTTCAGCGTGAAATCAGCATCAATTTTTTACCCACTACTAAAATTCAGTTCGCTCAATGCTTTTATATGTCATAGTCCAGATGGTAGAAACTTCTGGAAATGCGCTATTCATTGCATGCATCAGTGCAATTTCGAAGTGACAAAAAATCGAATTTGGTTGTAGACCCAGTACAACTGCTCTTAACATCTGAAAGAGCATGTTGTACGTCGTTGACTGCTTGTCACAAAAAAGCGCGTATGCAACATGACGAATTCAGCTAAACCTTTTTGCCAGGACTGTATAGACCACAGTAGCTTGAACCGCCCGTTCGAGCTTAAAACAGACATAATAAAATAAACCGAGTACCAGCAAACGTAGCTGCCTGCTGCTGCAACGACTGAAGATGACCGCGGTTACAGCCATATTTTTCGGCCACGACTTCGATTGGCGTTTCTTCCAGAAGATCGAAGAGTGCGAGGGCGTTATAGAACCGCATGTGGACCTTGAAATCAAGAACACTTAGGCAGAAACAGGACGAAGTTGGTTAATGAT